AAGCCGAAGCAATCTAACGTGGAAAGCCTCACTCCTCACCGAGTTCTTCGAGAATAATCAATCAAATGTATAACGACAGGATTTTTGCATAATTACAGTAACTTTTAATTCCTAATATCATAGATATGTGAACATTGGTTAGAAATTTTGTAGAATTAGTAAGAGCATAACTCTCACAAGAAAAAATCAAATTGAAAAAAAGAATAAGTTATAGGCCCTGTTCCAAAGGTTATTGCCGTGAGGTTTAATCCAACGTTCTTGATCGTGATCCTAAAAGGAAATACTACGAGTGTGAATATCCTACATGGCACTCTCTTATTATTCTCTGGAATTTTACTAAAATTCAATGCTGATCTAACTTTGATTTCCGGATAACAGATTCCAGGCCTTGGTTGTTCAAAGGTTGGATAACGCTATCTACTGGAAAAATTTTTATCCAGGGGATGGCACAGCACGTTTTGCTATCGATTATCCGCTGGATAGTGATTTATCCGTTGGATAGTGTTATCTTTCCTTTATACAACTGAGCCCTGGAGTCTCAAAGTAGCTCGAGAGGGATTGAATTTTTTAACCTTTTCATTCTCAAGAGTGACCATTGAGTGTTTTTTCCTTTTATCATTAATGCATCATCAGCCAGAAAGGTGATGAGAAGAGAGGACAAAATATCAACTAGGTGGAATATCGTAGAACTTAACGCCAAATTCTGAAGGCCGAATTTATGAGAAGTGTACAGAGGACAGTGTCGAGAGTTGCTATTGAGATCGTGTGGGAGTGACAGGCTTTACTAGATCCCCTCTTGCCTCCACATTATTTATTCAACAACTTCTATTTCATCTTTTGTAGACGCTACGGGCCATCGTTCAAAAGTGCCTGCAAACAGGCGAAACGCTTGGAGCGAATTCCATTGCATTTCCCGTCATTGGAACTGGAAACTTACACTTCCCACGCGATACAGCCTCGAGAATCATGTTAGATGAAACTGTAAATTTCTGCCGAACTAACCCCGCTTCTAATTTACGGGACATCCGATTTGTCGTGTTTAACCAAGATCAAACATTAACTGCTGCCTTCAAACAAGAGATGGACAAATTGCAACCCCAGCTAACTGGCCACTCCGCCATCGCAAGCGTAGCAAGAGGAATACGTTCCTTCTTTGGAAGAAAGAAAACAGCGGGGACATCGGGTGTTGGTATTGAAGTTTTGCAGGGTGACTTGTGCCAGGAGACTTCCGACGCCATTGTGAATATAACAAGTAAAGATTTGAATATGGACAGTGCAGGAAAGTTGAGTAAGGAAGTGAAACGACGTGGTGGTCAACAGATACAGGATGAGTTGAATCAGTTCGGACAGCAATCGAGTGGGACTGCATTGATTACCAGCGGTGGAAACCTACCTGCACCAAACATTATTCATTTAATTCCGGACAACAACAATAAAGACCACCTTCAACAATGCGTTGAAAGATGTCTTCAGCTGGCAGAGACGCAAAGTCTCCGATCCATTTCTATTCCCGCAGTTGGCACTGGGGCTTATGGTATGTCTGCAGTGGACTCAGCCAGTTTTATTTTTAAGGCCCTTACAAACTTTAGCGCTAGCTTTCGTACCCTCCGCAAGGTCAGGATTGTAATCTTCGAAGCTCCAATGTTGCTGGCATTTCAGCAAGCACATCAGAGGTACCCGTTTTCTTCACACGCAGGTGTAAGTCAGCGCATGCACTTCCACTGCCCCTTTAAAGTTGAGGTAACAAATGGCGATTTGACTCAAGAGAGCAGTACCGAGGCTATCATGAATATTATCAGCACGGACATGAACATGAATAACGCCGGAGACTTGAGCAAAGCCATAGCAAGACAGAGTGGTCCACAAGTACAACAAGAATGCAACCAACTGGGAAAGCAATCTCCTGGAACAGCGGTATTAACTAAGGGAGGTAATTTACAAGTACCTCATATTATTCACATTATTCCAGGCTCTTCAGATAAGAAACATCTTCAGCAGTGTTTGGAGGAGGGACTTCGTGTTGCGGACTCCAATAATTTTCAAGCGATCTCAATTCCATGTGTTGGCACAGGAGGCTACGGCTTGACTGGAGCAGACTCAGCCCAATTGACGTTCAAAGCACTAAATGCATTCAGTGTCCGCTGTAAAAGCATTCAAAAGGTGAGGGTGGTTGTGTTCCAGGCTTCTATGATGCATGAGTTTCTACAAGAGCAGAAGAAACAACCAGCGCAAGATATTGAAGAAGAAGACAGTGACTCGGAGAATGTAGCAGCTAGGCCAACCAGAAGGCTGAGACGTAGGCAGGCACCAACCCAAGGTAATGAACGCTTTGTAAAAGTATCTGTGATCGGCAAAGACAAGTTTAGCGTGGGAAAAGCCGTGGAGTCCTTGAAGAAAAGTTTCTCTGACTCTTGTACTATAGAAAAGGTTGAAAGTGAAGTCGTCAGTCAGCTTTCTGATAAACAGAAAGATTTCTTGAGAAAGAAAGCGAAAGACCGTGACGTCGAACTGAAAATTGAGGATGACGTTGATCGCATTGTCGTCCGAGGTGAACCAACTGAAGTGTCTGGAATGGTCGGGGAGATCTGGAAAGAGATCAACGAGAGGACCAAGAAGAAGCAAGAGGAGGAACAAGCGAAGTTAGTTTCAAAGAACATAGAGTGGAGCTATGAAATACATGGCGCAAAAATGGCGTTTGCTCCGAAAGCAAATGGTAAGATTGAGTTGGCCCACAGCAAAGATGAGCCCACAGTACAAGTTTCTCTTCGCAGAGACAAGTTTATCATTGACTTGAAGAGAAACTCTGGACGTGGACAAACTTCTGGCGAACAAATAACACTGTCAAGAAAGGTGAAGGGTGCTGATGAAGGTTAGTTGCTATACATCTTCTTTGACGATGATGCTTCGATAAGCTTAAAAAAATGAGTAAGAGCTATTGCACTTCCTAGGGGACATTTAAAGGAAATAAACGATATAGGAAATATATTAATTATTTTCTAATAATGGTCTCCCCTAAGCTTCCTTGTGATCTTTTTTCACTTTTCAGCAAGAACTATCGTCTTCCCTGACTTGAATGCTGATATGTACGTGTAAGATAAATCAGTGGGCCGGGGTTTCCACTTCAACATGCTAATCCTTTCGTCTTGTCTGCAGGAATTGCTCTACCAAAGCACTGGGCACCAATGCCCCGACCGGACATGACTGTACACACAGTGCAACTGCTACCTGGTTCTACTGAGTACCAAGATGTCGTAAATAAGTTTCAAGTCACTGCCAGAGGGGTTACTATAACCAAGATAGAACGAGTGCAAAATCCTCACCTCTACCAGGCCTACTTGGTGAGAAAACGGAAAATGGACAAAGATACCGGAGGAAATAGTGAGCGACAGCTATTTCATGGAACGAGCTCGAAGAATATCAAAAGCATCAACGCGCAAGGACTCAACAGAAGCTTCGCTGGGGTCAATGGTAAGGTTCTTTGTTATACAACGATGGGATGAGGAGTGTGATAGATTCAGTTTGCATTGATAACTCCTTGGAGACAGAAAAGTAACCCTCTTTTTCAGAGGATAATGGGTAAGATCTGTGGCTCCAAAGTCCCCATTTCCACTTCCTATTCTCTAGCTTACGTTTCTCAAAGTTCGTTTTAAAACATGTTATTGCTGTAAAAGCAAGATGCACGTGCTTTTCCACCTTTTGTGGCTAAAAACGTCCTTGATAAACTTAGGACCGTTGTTATCAAGACATTTATACATCAGGATAAGATATTGCTGTTTACTCTTGTGTTCTAGTATTTTCATGTTAATGACACATAAACTAATCGATTCTCGTACAAAATAGATTTGCAGTAACCAGCAGGGGACCTAAGAATATAATAATTAGCATCTTCAAGCCAATTCACTCGTATTCTCCCCACTCCCAGAAGGAGGAGAGTACGTGCTCCGATGCTCTGCCATTGAGCTTCAGAAAACTCTACATCTGAGCGGATTAATTTTTTTGACTGATGCGATTTTTTTTCTCCTACGAAGGAGTTGCCCTAGGTCGCGGTGTGTACTTCGCAAGAGATGCCTCATATTCCATCGGCTATGCACGTGGGAGTGGAACACGGCACATGTACCTCGCTCGTGTCTTAGTTGGACAATACTGTCAAGGAAACTCTAGCATGATCGTACCACCAGCTAAAAACTCTGCTAGACCAGAGATTTTGTATGAGTCAGTGGTCGATAACCCTGCAAACCCTGCCGCCTTTGTTGTTTTTTACGATAATCAGTGCTATCCTGAATATCTCATAACCTTCCAGTAGGCCAGAGGAAAAATTAACATTTGGTTCATATGTCAGAGTGCGTTCATTGAGATATGAAACACGCGGGAATTTTAGAGAGCACGATAGATGCGCGAGAGCTCAAAAGCATGCGCAACAGGAATGTGGAGCACCCTTTGGAAATTGAATTTGACTACGCGAGTTTGTTAGCTATTTTCTAATCGCTATTGCAACCAAAAGTTTCTCCAAAAAAGCCAGTCTCTTGGACGTCATGAATTGTGTAGAGTTACAGAGCTTTTTTGAAGAGTAACTGAATAAGTACTGCGTATTTAGTTTGCAGCAGAAAGCTTTGGGGAATATTTTTTAGCTGCTCATACTGATGTAAGAATGCTGTAGATCATGAAAAAAAATTAAATAAATTAGAAACAAAAGGGTTGGAAAAGCGGATAATTTTTAAATGACCACTTACACGGTAGAAACATTCGCCCACTCGTTTCAATAAGCGCTCCCCCCCCCCCTTGAAGTTACCCTTTCTGAGTAAGCACTCTCATTCGAATAAGCACAGGCACACCTTTTATTTCAGTGATAGCATTGCTAGAGTACATTTACATTGAGGTCAACCGTGGTTCATCTTCCTTTTATTTCTCACTTTAAGCCTCATTACAGAGGTCTTCGTCTCAGTCTCTTAGCTATTATATCCACGTGAGTGTGCAAAGTGCCCTCCCTTAAGGTGTCAAAAGGAAATGAGCACCCATGGCGCTAAATTAAATCATCAGGGTAACCCTCAGGCGGTGTGCGCACTCCGATTACATTGCAATGTGGTAGCGTTATTTTCAATATGGCGGTAAAAGCGGTAGAAATAGGTAGAGTTTGACTGAATATTCCGTAAAAGTTAGGCCATTTCTTTTTCCTTTCACTATAGGTAAATATAGTTTGATATAATCCGAACGTGTAGAAGTATTTTTCGTGCGTATTTGTCACGTATTATATCGTTCTCAAG